AGTAGTAGTAGTAGTAGTAGTAGTAGTAGTAGTAGTAGTAGTAGTAGTAGTAGTAGTAGTAGCTGAATAACCAGGATGTTCTCTCACTACTCCTTGACCACTGCCAAAAGCACCCACAATGGGCATGTGAGGATCAGAACTGGACCACAGAGCAATGCAAGAAGGTGGTCTGGTCTGATGAATCATATGCCTACATCATGTGGATGGCCAGGCGAGTGTGCATCACTTACCTGGGGAAGAGATGGCACCAGGATGTGAGAAGACGACAAACCGGCAGAGGCAGTGTGATGATTTGGGCAATGTTCTGCTGCAAAACCTTGGGTCCTGCCATTCATGTGGATGTTACTTTGACACGTACCACCTACCTAAACATTGCTGCTGACCAGGTAAACCCCTTAGTGGAAATGGCATTCCCTGATGGCAGTGGCCTCTTTCAGCAGGATAATACTCCCTTCCACACTGCAAAAGTGGTTCAAAAATGGTTTGAGGAACACAACACCAAGTTTGAGGTGTTGATTTGACCTCCAAATTCTCCAGATCTCGCCCAATCGATCATCTGTGGGATGTGCTAAAAAACAAGTCCAATCTATGGAGGGCCCACCTCACAACTTAAAGGATCTGCTACTGATACACATACACGCACACGCACACGCACACGCACACACACTGGCCAGATTATTATGACCACCCCATCAGTACTTCGTTGGGCCACGAGATAACTCCACGAGATGACTTCGTTGGGCCGCCCCGTGACTCCACGAGATGTTGAAAGGTGATACGAGGAATCTGACACTGCACTGTTGCCCTTCTGTTGTCTTGTAACAGTCTTGCCACTCTCCGTTCTGCCCTAACATTGACTAGTCGCTGACGGCCACAATACGCACGTTCAGACCCAGATTTTCGGCCGACAGTCCAGTCTTTAAACACTTACCAACAGCTGCTCTTGAACATTTAACGAATGCTGCTGCTTTACTCGCTCCATGGCTCCGAGCGCCAACAATCATCCCACGTTCAAAGGCTGTTAAATCGCGTTGTTTACCCGTATCTTCAGAAAAAAGTCACTTCTACTGTCGTGGTAAACAACCTGCTTCCCTATTTATATTGGTCTGTCCCTCTAGCAACTTCAGTGCGATATTATAGCTAATTTGCCTACAAACGTCAGGTGGTCATAATAATCTGGCCACTCAGTGTGTGTGTATGTATGTAGATATATGTGGTATATTATATACTGTGTATGTATGTAAATAAATATATATTGTATATCATATACTGTGTATATAACAGATATTATTTAAAAATGTTGCGCTTGTATTAGTCATGTATTCTAGATATCAGAGACTTTATAATTGTATATTCTGTACGTCTGACACATTAATTGCCACTGTACACTCCCTTCCCAGGTTTTCAGTGAAGACTCTCCTGGAGAAATACACAGCTGAGCCGATCGATGATTCCTCAGAAGAGTTTGTGAATTTTGCTGCAATTTTGGAACACATCCTGAGTCACCGATTCAAGGGTGAGAGAGAGAGGCTCGGGGGAGGCGGGTTGCATAGCAGCTGATTTAAAGGGTACCTCCAGTGTAAGCCTGATTGCATAATCTCTGCTGTACGCAGATACTAAAAAAACTCTTATTTCAATCTGTTTTTTTTTTTTGCTGCTCCAGTTTTAAAGATTCCATGCTGTGTATTTAGTTTACTGTAGTTTACAGCCCATGAACGATTAATTTACTGAAATACAGTATATTTCTGTAGATTCAACGCCTTCATGCCAAGGCTTGTACTACAGATCGTGTATACAGTCATGCAGTATGTCATCGTATGCTCGCTCTCCCGCTGCCAGTCAAGTGATCTCGCATAGGTAAAGGAAACAAGCAGCCTTATTCAATAAAGAGTTCTTCTACTTATGCGCTAATTCTGAGATGTGGTAATTCATAGCAGCCAAAAATGGTCCATTGTAGTCAATTGAGTACAAGATGGACAGTTGCTCCATCTTGTTATTGCACTTCATAATAATTAGCACATTTTCAATAAGAGTTCTAATTCTTAAAGTGAGCCTGTGCTTTGCCCTTGCAGCCAAAGAGCCACTAAAATTATAGTTTACACACGTCTATCGACCCTTTCCATGTGACTGAACTGGTGATTGGCCGGGCGCTGTCACATGACGTGAATCATGTACTATTCCATAACTAGAAGTTCCAGGTATTTTCTTCAGAAAACATCCTGCTACAACCGGCTTCTAAAGAGCATACACATTTACACTATAAGGGTTCACGCAGTCAGGTGTTTGGGAGCATGCAATGTAAATTCGTGCATACTTTCTGATCCAGGAGCACCAGGGGCTGTGTGCAACTGCCCACATTGTTCAGTTTTAGGCACCCGTGTGCATATGCCCATTTGTTGTTGTTTTTTTTTCCTTTTAAAGGAGAACTAAGGGGCTAGATCTCTTCCCCATAGTTCTCCTAAGGGTAACGGGAGGATGCAAACTAGCGTCCTCCCGTCACCCTAAGCTCAGTATACCGTGAGCTACAGCTTGCGGTATACTGAGACGCTGCAGCCAGGACAGATCCCGACATTACTGTCGAGATCCACCCAGCTGCGGGATTGACAGGTGGCTCTGCCTATCTAGAGGCAGAGCTAGCTGTGCCCGCCCCCTCCCCCGTCCGTTCCATCAATCAGCGCTGGAGGGGAGGAAATCCCTGCAGGGAGCCGTGAGTGACAGTCACGGCTCTCTGCAGGGATAGATCGAGAAGTGAGCGAGCCGACCTGTAACAGTTTAATTGTCACAGGTCAGCTAGAACTATGAGGCTATGTGATTTTCACTCGCCTCATAATTCTCCTTTAATTCATTCCCTCCAATGCCCACCTCCATCACCATTCCAAACTGTTGAAGGTGGTAATTTCTGACCCCTGATACGGATTAGTAACAAGTCTGGAATATTTCAGACAGTTGTCATAGAACAAGCCTTATATTTGGACTATCTCTTTGGGATGAGGCTCTTCATCCTTGTTTCTTGAGTCTATTGGTTCATTGGAAGGTTCTCACTTGGGTGTCGTGCTTTGGGACAGGTCCACCGCTTTCTTCTTTTTGTGTTCCCTATTTCTCCTACACATATGTCACCGACCTTTCTTTTGTTGCCTTTTAGGTCATGTTAGCTGGTTTAGCACAGATGGGCAGAGAGGATTCTGGGACTATATCCGTATCGCCTGCAGCAAAGTTCCCAACAACTGTATCAGCAGCATTGAAAACATGGAGAACATTAGCACAGCCAGAGCAAAGGTGTTTTATTATGAACCTTGCATGTTTGGTCGTATCTTTGTTATTGAGTGATGTCCGGTGCCATTTTTCTGTGCCATCTTGTGTCACATTACAGATGAAGCAGAAGCTTGGAAATTAGCATACAATTCAGATCTTGTCTTTAATAAATTATCCTCTAAACAAGAAGGAATTGCAGAAAGCTGCTTCGTGTATATTTCAGCCCCCCAGGTCCTTAGTCATAGCTGATACACGACAAGACTGGATACATTTACATATATGGCTGACACAGCAAATTTAATTAATGAACCAATCCTTCTTTTTTTTAGGGTAGATAACCAATTATTCTGTGACTGTGTCCTAATCTGTCATGAATCAATATACATTCATTGCAGCAGCAGTGCCAAGCACAGATCTTTCTAAAGCCCTAAAGAAGGAAGAGTATGTAAAATCCCCTGATATGTCTTGGCTATCTACCTGAAAGAATGATTTTATTGCAACTGAACATCCATGTTTTGGTGCTTTGTTCTTTTATATTTTGATTTCCAAGGTCTTTTAGTGGGTAGGGGGTACCTGTGATTTAGCAACAACTACTTACCATATTTCGATCACAAGACCTACCCTTTAAAATATCCGGATGCTGTGAGATCCAGCGAGACCTTCAGCCCTACCGGTGATTTCATTTCTATGGTATTAGAAACCATTTTTATGGCATTACAATGGGATTCTGGGTGTCTTTATGGAGAAGGATCTCAGATTTCAATGGGACACTGATCTGTAGATGTAAATTTCTCTGTATGTGTTGTGTGGATGATGCATTCTAGTATGCTGCACATGTATTGATGTCTGGAAAAACATACAACGCTTTGTTCTTTATCTGTGACTAAGAATGGCCTTGCAAAACATCATCTTTTACAGGTGACTTACCGAATTCAGGTTTCATTGGTGATGACTGGACATATTGTATCCACTTGTCGTGATGACTGGACATATTGTATCCACTTGTCGTGATGACTGGACATATTGTATCCACTTGTTCTTTATCTCTAATGGGTTTTGATGTTGGTTACCTGCCTCAGACACCCACTGGATTATCTTCATTAAAGAGGAACTGAACTCTATAGCCTGTGCCCCAAAAAACGCAGACAGAGGGCAAAAGAATAGTCACCAGTATTGCCTGTGCAGCTGATCGTTTCTCCATTACTGACTTACCAAGTCTTGGTTAGCACTGTATCTTCATGTGAAAGCGGCCATCTCTTAAAAGCATGTAGAAGCAGGGCTTTGCTTCCTCATGTCAGAACCTCCGGCAAGGAGAACACAGAGTTGAAAGATAGTGAGATTACCACATGGCCCCTCAAAATCTCCTGAGACTAGTAGTCAGAGGTAGCTGTGTTTTAGATCTCACGTTGCAGATATACAACTATCAGGTTGTAGGCAGCGGAGCTTCTAGACATACCCACATACCGGGAAGGGTATCGCTATTTTTTTGAGCAGGAATTCAAAACAAAAGGTCATTTTTTCAGGGTGCTGCTGATCTTCATTCTGTCAGTTGAGTTCTATTTAAACCTCACATTAGCAGCAGCATTGCAGTCCTTACTTTCTACTTACTAAGTACACAATGTGGACATGTGTGCTCTCATTGTAGGGTCGGGCCTGGATACGTCTTGCACTGATGGAGAAACGCCTTTCAGAATACATTGTTACTGCACTAAGAGACACCAGAACCACCAGGTGAGACCATGTGTGACACCCTATAGGTACTGATGTACCAACGTTCTTACAAAGGGCCTTACACTCTATCCAAGATTTATAGCAGCTACAAATGTCTCTTCCTGTTTTCTCTGGTGATTTGTAGATGGCTACAAGGTTGTGCCTATGGTTAACTATAATGTTTATTTAGGCAGCTACAAATCCCTGGTGTGTAATGGTCATCAGCAGAGGCACTGGAGCTACAAAAGATGGAGAATAAATAGCTAGTTACTACTTCTGCTACTGCAAGATTCATTTAACACAAAGTCTGAGGAGAAGGATTGTGTAGCTGCTATAAAATTGTCCACATGACATGGCTTTAAGACCTGTGCCACACTTATAATCCTGTTTCTAATGACAGCTTGGCTAAAACCGTCCAGACGCTGTGCGAATTTCATCAGACTGTTTAGCGTGGATGGAGGAATTTATAATATTTTTTTCTTTCATCCTACAACAGCCTGTAACATTGTATAGCTGGTCTAAGATCCATGCCTTAGACCCATGTCACAGTGGCAATTTTGTAGCCGCTACAGAATCCCTCTCCTTTTTGTTGCTAGGAATTGCAGTCAAGAAAAGGTCTATGTGCAAGCTATTTGTAGCTTGGAGCCAGTGACAGAATCGCCAGCATATAGGTTTCATCTAATGTTATCCAATGCAGATGCTGATGACCATAGCACACCGCCAATTTGTAGTGACCCAGATAAGCGATGTAGTCTTCTACAACTCTGTAGCCAACTAGTATTTGCCTAAAATATTAAACAGAGAAATGTGTAGCTGCTACAAAGTTGCTAGTGTCACATGAGAAAATATTGATATACAGTATAAGCAGGGCTGGATTTCCCACAAGCCCATCCGAGGCCCGGCTTAGGGGTGGCAGGGAGTAGAGGGGCGGCAGGGGTGTGGCATTCCTATCTCCTGACGCCTGGGACATGCAGTCTCGGGCTCTGGACAGGTCGTTTTTCTCTACATTTAGCCCTGCTTTGGGCAAGCAGAGATAAATGTACAGCAGGGAAGTTTAGTTTAGCTCGTTTAGTACAAAGGATCTCGGCGATGTCACTGAGACCACTTGTATGCAGCCTGCAACGTCCGTTCTCTGCTCCATGTGAACACTGACACGGGAGTGTGATAGCAATAAAGTTAAGTGAAAAAAAATAAATAACAATTAAAAAAGTAAAAAATTATAAGAAATAATAATTAAAATAAAGTAATAAAGAAAAAAAATAAAAAGGAAAAAAAATAAGATAAGGAAAAATATAAAGTAAAATTTTTTTGGCATTGGGGCAGCGGAGAGAGTAAATCCAGCCCTGAGTATAAGGCTCATTAATAATATTTTTGGGATTAGATGGGGTTGCTTTATGAAAAATAAGAGCTTTGAGAAGCTAAGAAAAATTATAGCTTCTGCCTCTAGTAACCAAATTGATTATTTGTTTCTATGTACCTCCTGTATAGCTATATTAACCTATGTCATATGACCACAAGCTTCAGCATATGTCTCATTGGGGTTGAACTACAGAAAGGGTTGGAGCAGTAGATCTACATTTGTACCATGCCATCTCTAAACGATGACACATTCACTTTTTTTTTTCCTTTTCAGGAGGTTTTATGACGATGGTGCTATTTTACTACGAGAGGAGTCATCTGTCCTCACTGGGATGTTGATAGGCCTTAGTGCCATTGACTTCAGGTATGATCATCAAGGGACCTTATGTAATGATCGTCATCCAATCTAGTCTCAGAAACTTTCATTCTAAATTGGCTACCCTATATTGGAAAGATCTGAGGAGGAAAACCTGCTCACTTGTCTTGGAAATAGGTCATGTTTTATAAACTGTTTCCATAAATGTTTTCACCATGAATATGGAGATGATGGAAACACTGGCATGTCTTGTCTTCTGTGCTGTGTTTTTCCACAATTTTCTCATATATACATAGTGGTTGGAAAACTTTAAGGTGATTGTACAGATTTTGTACAATTTAGATTGTAAGATATGCAGCCAGCTTCACCTTTACTTTACTAAAGCCATTCCCAATCAGAGTTCCATGGAAAGATCAGTGACCTAATGGCCAGTTTTTTGGGGAAAAAAGGTAATGGCCAGCAATGGCATTGCCAATAGCAACCAATAATGTCCAGCTTTTTCCAGTTCTGTCTGATTACCCTCTAATTTGTCTCCTCACAGCTTTTGCCTGAAAGGAGAAGGGATTGATGGCAAAACTCCAGCTGTCATAGACTACACTCCATACTTAAAGTTTACACAAAGGTGAGTACAATTTATTCAGTCAAAATCGATTTTTTATATGGAAAAAAGGCAGCACAGCATGACACTATACCTCTTTCTTAGGGCCCACAATGTGGACATCAGACGGGTCTTTCTAGGGCCAGGTCAATGGGTTGGCATTAGAGGCCGCTTCCTTGGGCAAAGTACAAAATGGGCAGGACCTACATCATATGCGGCTGAATTAGTTCACAGCTCATGGGAGTGGCACACCTTGGCTGCTAAAGGACCTTGTCCTAGCACTGCTCTCTAGAGACCCAAAGGGCTTATGAAGGTTTGATATAGTAGCCTACCCTGGGGGCCTATTTTAGGTTCTGATTTAGCACCTTCTAGTAGCCAGATGTTCTAATGCTTTAGCTTTCCTTGCACTAGTGTTTTGTTTTTTTAACCCACTTTTGTGTGAGCAGAGAGGGGAAGAGTTTGCAGAAGGAACTTCCCACCACTGAATTTCTATATCATTTTAATTTAGTACAATTTTTTGGGTGTAGGATCTTTTCAATAGACGTGCCATGAATATTCCACTTGTTTACTATAACCAACATTTCTCTGACCAGTTATGATTACCTAAGTGAGGAAGAGGACCGAGAAAGTGTAGGTGGCAGCAGCAGCGAGGACAGCTCTCCCGAACACCCCTACATACCACTACTAACAGACGAGGAGAGCTGGTACACCAAGTGGCGTAAGATGGAACAGAAGTTCCGTATTGTCTATGCACAAAAGGTAGGTGGAAACCTTCATATTAACGTGACAGTGTAAAGTATTTATTAGACTTCATATATCCAGCCAAAATGAAAATAAAAAACAGATCTATTCCTTATTTTAGTATAGTGGATGGAGCGATGTATATTATTCCATCATGCCCCATTACTAACTGGACATCCAGAACTTATAGTACATAGCAAATATTCAGCCTAATTATACAAGAGTCCTTTATTTGGAGATACAAAGGACTATGTGGACTTTTTGATCCTCTTTATTGCAATGTATGGATCACATGTGGATCTTGGAGGGAAACCCCACTAGGATTTTGTTTAACAATCTTGGCTGTGAACAGCTTTCTGGAAAAATTGACCTCTGGCGTCTAAGCTGAGCTTTGGTATGATGCCGGGAACTGTGTCTAGAGAAAATGTGCTTGGACCCATGCATTAATCATATGCTTCATTTTACATTCTGCCAGTTTTATATCCGAGAAGATATTGATTTTGTAGGCAGAGGAGTCATTTATGCCCCATACGTAGGCCAGCTTATTTATTACATCAGTCTAATTGGTGCAGAAGGGGATTTAATCAATTGAAGCCAGACAATCAGCTCGGTGTACCTCCCTTTTCTCTACCGATATGATTCCGCCATTCATTGCATATCCAGTGATCTCCGATGAGGGTGATGTTGGTTTATCTGAGTTGTATCACAACGGGAAAAATGGACTGTGGATCATTTCCAAATCACAAGGTCTCTGATGATGATTGTAGCCGTCTAATGCACAGCTTGGTGACCTGTATATCCAAAGCAGGTTCCTGCATGACGCTGCCAAGTATCATCCATAACATGTTGTCCATGTCCACCTTTAGAAAGCCTGTTAAGCTTCCTCGCTGACGTTCAGATAACTACCTACCATGTATTTGTCAGTAAATCTCTTTTTAGCACATTATTCTATCCCTCTTACTGTAAAACCACCAGCAGTTTACATTCATTTGCTGGCTTTCAGATCAATAGAGATGCACTTGGTGAAGCTCCTTGCAGCGATGGTCAATGCACTGTGCTGTGAATTGTTGATGATCTAATAACTATGTTCTGTAGTTACTGGAAATGTCTCATTGTGAAGCTGACTTCAATCTCTATTCCATATGAGTGCTGGAAAAAATATGGCTTGTATGACCCAATCATTGAAAAAAGCATTGTGAGGACGTCCAAGCTCCTCTAGTGATTCACAATTAATGTGGGGTGGTGCAGCTGTTACTGAAAGCATATTTATGTGACTCAACGGTTCTTCGTGTATAGATCACAGAAACTGAAAGCATCTTTTTGATGTCATTGGACTTTTTTTTTGGTTAGAGATGAGCAAGACAAAAGTACACAGCAATAAATGTTCCCTTTTTGGGTCATCCTAGTATGACTATGGATACCTTAAGAGGTTTTCTAGAGGCATCCTTGCATACTGTGTTGGACAGGATATAATCTATGTGTGAGAAAATATCTCTGCCCACAATAACAACGTTCCCTCTATTGCCATTCTTCAGATTTAGTCCAGGTATAATACTGTTTTATATGAAATAAATTGTAATTTAAATCTAAACTCCAGGCAAATTCCTAAATACACAGCTGAACTGTGGATAAGGGAGCTGTTTTTCCTGCCAAATGATATGTATTCCTGTCCATCCAGTCCTGAGATTAACACAGATCTCTCACAGAACAGCCCTGTTTGGCAGGGCAGGAGACCTCCTTTTCCACTAGCATCTACCAGTCCCCATCCTAACCACCCTGCCAATGGATGCAGCAGACTGATGAACTCCTCTGTCATTCTGCTCTCTCCTCCTATCATGAATATTGCATTGCACAGATTGACTCCTTGTCAGGGGCGTCCCGAGGCCGGGTGTCACCCGGAGCGGAGACCGGGTGACACCCCGCAGTGACGTCGTTGCGCATGCGCGGTCATCTGATTGACGTCTGCCGGCGGCCATCTTGGTGATGGACGCTGGCAGAGAGAGGAGGCGATGTTCACCCGGCGTGATGACGTATGCCACTGGGTCCCCTCCTCTCTCCTGACACTGTCGGGCTCTCGGTCCATGACCGAGTGCCCGACTTTTTAGAGGGGGTGACACCAAAATGACTGCCAGTCATTTTGGTGTCACCCCTCCAATGGTATCATTCGGGTGCGAGCCGCACCCCCCTTGTGACGCCACTGCTCCTTGTGCTGCTTTTTCCTCCACCACTCTGAGCACTGTTGTGCGGTGTATTGCAAGAGGCTGATACAATGTCAGATTCAGGTACTTAAAGTAGTATTAGACTCTCAAACTTTTTTTCATTAATGAATCCAAATCAAACAAATATACATTACTCGACAAAGAATTTCTTCAAAGAAGAACTCTGGGTATATACAAAATTAACCCATGCAGTGGGGCTACGCCCACGCTGCAAGGGATAAGTGCTTGTTTTGGTCTAGGGTCTAAAATGTAAAAGCTATACTCACCCGATCCTCAGTCCCGTGGCGGTGACTGCTCACCTCTCTTCCCCTTCACTCCAGCTGTGGAATATCTTTCAGCGTCCTCATGTCCATTGCAAGTGAATGGACGTGATTACCTAATGGGTCATTAGACTAGATTATAAGCTAGGAGGGCACGAGCAGTGCCCTCCTATTGTACTGAAATTGAATTGTGTAGTAATTGTCATGTCTCCCCCATTTTGTAAAGCGCTGCGCAAACTGTTGGCGCAATATAAATAAATAAAAATTAGACCTCCAGAGCCTAGGCAAAAAGAGGCAGGGCTGGTGCAGACTTCGGCGATCCCGTGACGCGCACGATTGTCTGCGGGTACACACATCAGTTGCCGCGCGGCCCTATTGATTTCAATGGGTTACATCCGCGCGGCAATCACTGAAAAAAGGTGCATTAAACCACGATCGCACAGGCACAATCTGCCTGGGGCGACTGGGGTGCCATTAGAAAATAATGGGACCCCCAGCGCGATCGGCAGTGGTGTGCAATTCCATGACCGTGCGGTCATCCATGCAGTTTCGTGCACGACTGCCACGCGGTCACGGATCGCACAGGTATGAACCTGGCCGCAGGCAGCATTGGTCTTTTTACATTAGCCTGGAGTTCAGCTTTAAGTTTCCTATAAATATATACTGTATATCATGATCCAGATCAAGCTGGTGTACCAGAAACTCTCTAGATGTAATGTGACAAGTCCATGCATGACCTGTTAGCAAGCCTGCAGGGTGTCCAAGCTTGGTCTCAAGAGTGTTCCTAAAGAAGTTTCCTCTGTCATTCCCAGGGATATCTAGAAGAGCTGGTCCGCTTGCGGGAGTCTCAGCTGAAGAATCTAGAAGCTGAGAACAAGAGACTGACTCAGAGGATCCAGGAGCAGGGAGAGCAAGGCATGCAGGAGAAACACCAGCTGGAGGGAGTCATCCTAGAACTGCAGGAACAGCTGTGAGTGAGAGGGGTCACCTATGAAATACACACTCATATAGGCAAAGGGCTCCACACAAGCTAGTCAAGTCTGCTGCATTAGAAGCATCTAACTACTGTATATTTCCTGACTGACAGGCTCAGGAGGATCTAACCAGATTTCTATCATTAGCCATTTGCCACACATACTACCACCAACCACCAGGTCCATGACCAAGTGAGGGGCACATGATTACTACCAATCTCTCACCATGAGATGAGACATACTTCCAGTTTACTGAGCATTGAATGAGCACCTACCACCGATCCACTCAATATATGGAACACACTAACATACTAACCTACTACTATCTCTTGGCCACTGGAAATACATCTATTGAGCACCAGTTGAGTGATATATGATTTTTCAAGCATCACAATCCAAGTTTTATTACTTTTGTGCTTCTTTTAAAGTTTACCTAATCCCAAAACTTTTTTTTTTCACCTTTGGATAAAGTAGGGAAGAGTTAGAACTCCCTGGCAGCTTTTTTTTTTATTGCTGTCTATGTCCTCGCAAGTGAGAGTCTTTTTTTATCTGGCTTAGAAGTTACCATTGTCACCAAGAATGAAAGTGGGAGTAAATCCAAAAATTGGGGTTGACACTACAATGGGAATAAAGGGGAAATCTTCCAATGGTAACACGTGTGTTCCTGAAGACTATCTAAAAAGGGATTTCCCCTACTTTGGAGAGATTTCATCTCACTTTCTGATGTGTATTTAGGACAAAAGGTGAAGGGAAATGCCCCAAATGGGACACTGATAGTGAAAAAAATATAATATTCACAATGGAAAATTAAGTTTTGGTTTTAGATTACGGGGTAGTATGCTAATCCTGATTCTAACTTCTGAAAACACCATTTAGGCTACACAGGAAACAGATACTTGCCTACCATCAGTCCTGGAATGACTCATCTACCTTTCATCTCTCACATTTGGGCACAGTCTACTTTTACACTAATCAATGGTGAAAGAACACAGCTCCCAGAAAACCACTTAACAGAATAACGATCGACTATACCTGCATACTACAAATGCAATACATGGAGAGTTAGTTAGTGTCTATGTCTCACCAGTGGCAGAGAGCATAACAAAGTCCCCTTTAAATAACATGACCACTGAATCCTATCAAATCCTTAACACAAACAATTTAAGAAATGAAGAAATAAATCAAGGCAACTGAACTTGCTGTATGTTTCTTGAATCTGACTAGCTTTCTCAATTCAGAATGATTTGGACAAAAATTCTCTTTGAATAAATATGGTGAATGTTGCTCCAATCAGCATGATCTATTAATCATAACCAGCATGGGGTCAGGGACTTCATGGAGGTAAGGTGTTGATTACATTTGCATGACCGGAGCTAGCAGGCGTTATTAAGCCACCCAGAGTGATGGGCCTGCTAGCTCCAGCAAGTCCAGTTACCTTGATTTTATATTTTACAGCTATAGATGAATGAGAACCTCCACAGACACAATTGTTTTCCAACTGCTCAAATAAATCCCTATAAAGAAGAAAAATACCACGGCATAGCCATAAAGTGCAAAGTGTGTTCAGATACATCCACTCATTGTCTGATTAGCCTTGGGTAAAAGCCCATTTGTGATTTGGTAGGTGTGGTTTGGCATTGATTTAGTCTTTCGACTAAACTGTTTGACATCATCCAATAGGATCTAGGAGGTGCATATCATATCAAACGCCAACCCAGACATGCTCCAATCCCAAAGCAAACATACCCATCATGCACCTTTGGCATTTCATAACAAGAGCATTCTCTGTTATTCCCTGTAATTCCAGCACTGGCCTACTCCCTTCTGAAAATGTCCCCATCAAACAGTTCAACTCAAGCATTGGGGCCCCTCTGGTTAACCAGTGGCCCTCCCTGGGCACCCTTAATGATAACGAGACATCTGTTAAACCCACGCTGTACAGGAGGTAAGACACATATACCCCATGACACGTTTACATTCAACGTTCGTTATCTGTCTCATGTCAATGGAACATCTGACTAGCTCCTGCAAAGCATTGAAGAGGTCGTGTCCACCTTACTGGACAGTCTGTTATTCTGAAGTTGGGCAGCAAAATAATAAAGCTTGCAAATAGCATTCATTAACTATCTTGTTCCTTTATGCTTCTACAGGCTCTTGGTAGCAATACCAAGCAACATGTGTAATCTCTCAGTGAACTGCTGTGCCATTCAGGAAACATTGCACCTTTGCACATAGTTCTCTTGAGGCAGGGTCCTCTTGACCCTAGGCAAGCAGCTAAACACACAGTTGTAATACATTTATGTGACTTGTTTTAAAAGATTCTAAACTTTGTTCAGCTAGTCCTGTCAAGCAGACAGTATGTTTTCAAGCTCCACTTTAATGGATCTTTAAAATATAGCTTATGTTCGATAGGTAGAGTTTACAATTTTTATTGTCAGTGAGGAATCTGTAGGCGCCTGCATAGCTGAACACATGTAAGCATAACATGACCTGCATCTACTTGAAGATTTTGCTCTTAAAGTGGAAACTTAAGAGTCTGTGCAGGCATAATATAGACCTTAGCAGCCGTCTTCAGTTGTATGCACTTGTACAAAGGGTGCCGACAGACATGACATTGAGAGCCACTTAATTACCAGTGGTTTAGAAAGGGGCATTGCAACTAGGCTCATACACTGGGTGGGTGGGGTGTTAGGTCTCTCTGCCATTATGTATTCAGAATATTACCCCAAAACAAAAAGAGTTGCTCTCATTGCCAAAATAACATGTTACAGAAAATGATGCCCACATGATTTTGTGGTTGTGACATCAGAAGGGGGACCAGCGATAGGCTTTTCATTATTGAATAGGAAAACATCAGTTCTTCTAGGCCAACATTTAGATTTAGAACCTTTCCCATTGGGCAAGGTTAAATCTGTAATGAGTCCCTACAGGCATAACTGAACAAGATAGGAAAATAATATTATTTACAAAGCTGACTATTTTGCTGTCTTGTCTTATAATATCAAGTATATCAGAAATGGGCGGGTGCAGTTGTACTGTCATGAAAATGTGCAATGGTAGCTATTCAATACTCTTGAGCAGTATGGCTGGTTCTCTGCTGCAGAACATTGCATGACATCTGAGCCTTATGTTCTGTTCTGTTGGGCTAGTTGTGTGTTTCTTCTCCACAGACACAGCTATCTGAGCACAGATCACCTTTCAGCTGAGCTGAGTCTGAGCTCCGAATCCCAGAGGGCAGATGGAAAGCAGGACGGGGAGCCTTGGGGTCCTATTGGTAAGCCCATTGTGGGGTAATTTAAGTCTTTGTAACATGGTAGAGAAGTGACTACATGCTAGCATTAAACTGTATGATTGCATACCAATGTTTTACTTCTGTGGAACACTATAGGTCAGTTTGGGTCAGATAGGTCCTTCAAAGAAAATTTAGAAATAGTTTTCACCTGTAAAACTTTTATATAATATTACTATTCCATATTTACCAACAGTCACCAGGAAAGGTGAGCTTCACCTGAAAAATATTTGCTGAAAAATCTTCTTTTGTTTAACCTGGTGGTGCCAACAGGGAAAGTGCCAGGTTAAAGTGACCCTAAACTGAGGAGTTAAATCTTAAAAATGCATTTAAGTACCTTAACTATTACCAAAATGTATCTTATTTGTGTATCACTTGGCTGTAGATCCTCAAATCATCTCTGAATTGGTGCTGACACTGTCTTTCCTTCTGGAGGGTGGCTACTTTTGTTCCCTGTGTGGGTGTTGTAAAGTGGCCACCGCTCCAAGCTCTCTCCCGGGATGGACTACAATCTCACATTTAGTTTACTAATTTGCATTGAGATTGTAGTCCATCACGGGAGTGAGCTTGGAGTGGTGGCTACTTTACAACACACACAGCCACAAACATAGCCCCCCTCCAGAAGGAAGGACCGTGTCAGCTCCAATGCAGAGATGATTGGAGGATCTACAGCCGAGTGATACATTTCTGTTAATAATTAAGGTACCTAAATGCATTTTTAAGATTTAACTCCTGAGTTTAGTCTCACTTTGACAGTGCAATGCAATACACTGTGCTTTGTGCTGATCCCCTGGTATAGAGCAAAGTTAATGTATATATCTAGATTTCTGTTTTTCCTTTATAAACACCCCCCCCCCCCCCAAAAAAAAAGCTACTCCCAACAGCAGCTTCTGGGCACAGCAATCATGTAGAATAGTATCCCCATAGCAGGGGTGCCAAGAGTGTGCTGATGCAAGCTGTATGGTCTTCAGCATTTGATGGGTGCCAGCATACAAGGTGGCTATATGCAATTTACTTGCCTCCAAGTAGGATGCATCCCTATTCTGATATAAATTGATCCTGGGGCCTCTCAGAGCCCTTATTCATTCTCCTGTTGGAAAGCGTGGCAAAAAGAAAGTACACCCCCTCCCCCCCCCCTTGCATTAAACATTTTATTAGTCTGTTGTTTATTTGAGGTCCTGTGTTGGGGCTCCTCTTCATCCTTGGCACCAGCTAGAAGAAAACAACAAGATTATAAGTACCCCGTCATCACTTTTCTACCCTTGGCTAGCCAGGGAAGGTTTTTTTAAGTCTGCAGGGAATTTTTAAATGTCTTATGCCATCAGTGAGTACTTGGTGTACCTGATATGTTACTGTTATTGTACTAGGTAGTGTTACAGGAAACCAGAAGGGAATCCCTTTACCGGAGCTTCTTATATTTTTAAAATGTATTCCTCATTAAATTGCAAGCAAAAACCTCTCAGCGTTGGTCAAGTCTTACATAAAACACCTGCCGGTTTGGTAATTTATACCTGTTAACTATGTGCAGCATATATTTTTGACTTTTTTATATATATTTTTTTACATTATATTTCCCTCCGTAGGTAAGGACCCCACCCCTTCCATGCTGGGTTTGTGCGGTTCCCTGGCCTCTATCCCCAGCTGTAAATCTCTGCCAAGCTTGAAATCCAACGAATGCCTTGTCAGTAATAGCAGTGAGACAAGTCCTGCTGGAAGCCCCAGCTGAGGTCTTCCAAACACAGGTCACAATCAATGCATTATGTCACGACCACCACAGGAGAAGCTCAGTTTATCTCATGATATAACGTCTCGCCAAGTTAACTTTTCTTCGGCCAATTGCATAACTCCCAATGGTGGTCTAATAAGGAATATACAAGGACTAAAAAAACAAAAACAGCACAGCATATAATCCATCGCCCAACAGTGAACCAATACACCCCAATATAGCCAGTTCCTAAACCGCTGTAACCTTGTAGAGAACACAAGAAATGATCTGGACATGAATAAATATATGGATATCTACTGCTATTTGTCAATGAAAGTTTCAACGTCTTGGGACTTCTTGCTGCATTCAAAAAAAATGACATCAGTTAAATCTCCTATACTTGTCCCTTTACAAAATGAAATGCCTTTTTAATTAAGCATTGACCCAATATTCCCTTCCCTTTATGGACCAAGTGGAGACTTTCAACTCATGAACCCTATGAGGGTAGAAGTTGGCTCCTTTTGTTTGGACTTGAGTACACTGTATGTTGTGTAACTGACCACTGGTATAAAACTGGTTGTGATGGAACCCACCTCTGTCAGAGGAACATGTGCAATTCTGTCCATTAAACTGATGAACTGAAGGAATCTGAAACTGCCTAATTGTTTTTTGTGAGTCAACTACAGATGATCTCTGGGCATCAACATTCCACCGCTTTTTTTAATACATTTTTGTTATATTTTATTAAATATTTTTTTTGTTACTTTACTTGTAGGGGCTACGGGGACATATTGGGGATCTAAACAGAACCCTGATATTTCCCTTTTTAAAATAGAAAAAGAGATTGAGGACTCTGAGTTCTCAATCTCTTTTTCTGCAGCCCCCGTTATAAAGGAAAAGGAAGCCTCTATACTGAGCGTTCCTGTTCATTCATATCTTGTGGATATAGAATGTTTACCATGTCCACAATCATGAATGAACAGGAAGTGGTGTAGATAACTTCCCATTCATTCATAATTGGGGACACAGTAAATGTACTATGGCATCATTTATTTATAAACACTCAGCGCTCACTGAGTGTTTGTACCGCTCTCCTTCCTAGATCGGCTATCACAGGAGGCTGAGCGAGCGGTGCAGGGAGGAGAGCTTGATCTCTTCTGACACTTGACTCCTCCCCCGCACTGTCAGCCTGGCCTCCTGTGACAGCTGACACTGTTTCCGCTCCCCACACCGCTCTCCTGATCTGTCGCAGAGGCTGAGCGGTGCAGGAGGAGAGCTCAGCCGCCCGTGACAGCAGTCTCTGCACCCACAACGCTCTTTTTCTAATCTGTCAAGAGGCTGAGCGGTGCAGGAGGAGAGACGCCGGTCGCTCACAGTGCTTTCCTCCCCCGCCCAGCTCGGCCTCCTGTGAGTTTCTCTCCTCCCCGCTGGAAGCTGCGCTGTGTCAGAGGGGACACAGAGCAGCGCCCAGCAGGGAGGAGAGAAAGCAGGGACGCACCGCTATTTCGGCCAAAAGATGGCACTTTCGGCATTTTGCCAAAAGTGCCATTTTCAGCCGATATATTTCGGCGGATGAAATTTCGGTACATCCCTAGTGCCATTAAAAAGAATGGGGAAGGAACCGTGTACATCCATACAGGTTTGGAGCATTATTTACCAGCGTACAGGCTAAAGCCTGTCATTGACTTGTACAGGTGAGCTGAATGCAACATCTGTGGCTCCCGGGTGCAGAAATATGCTTTTTATGGTGGACGGATTTCTATGCCCATGTGAATGACCCCTTATGAGCAATTCCAGGTAACAAATTAAATCAAGCAGTGACCTACTACTGCAAGCCAAGAACCATCTGAGTAGTGGTAAAATCAGACCAAAGGCATATCTACAAAAAAATATCACCAATGGCAAGCACTGAAATTGCACCCCTTTCCAAAATCAGTGCCCCGATTTCCCCCTTACATCAGAGTATGGGGGACTCAGATGTAAAGGGGAACCCTGGGGACTCGGTGCCCAGAGTTTACCCTTACATCAGCTTCCTCGGAGCCCCTCTTACATCAAAGAGTCCTACTCTGATGAAAGGGCAGACTCCGTGTCCAGGGTTCCCCATTACATCAAAGGCCCTTCTCAATCTGGTAGGCAGCGCGCACTGGAGGAGGTGGCTCACTTACTCATTGGAGCTGGGCCAGCTTACCTCAGGAGGCACCCAGAGCATGTGCTATACCCTGGATACACCACTAAGTCAGACCATTTCTTCAAATTACTTTTTTATGAGTTCTTAGTAATCATCTTTCTTTTCTCTTCTAAGTGTCACGAGTCAGATTCAACCTTCTAAGATTGATGGCCATGAGGAACTTCTCAACTGCTGCCACTTTCATACTTTAGTATATATAAGGGATAGTAGGGTATTTGCAGTGGGAGTGTCTGGGAACTACCAATCCTGTGTTGGGTAAGCAAAAAGCGTTCCCAAATCACCAAAAGAAAACACTGAAGTCTTGAGCTCCACAGCAATGGCTGAAAGAAGGTAAAACATCTGTCTTCTGTGTGCATTTCAAAGCTTCGTTTTCAATTTTTTGCTGAAGAGTATGGTCATCTATCATCAAGAAAGAATGACTCAAACACGGTGTGCTTCATGCGAGTGCATTTTTTTATTTGAATTGTATTCCTACACACCACCACACATTTTGTGCGTCCCCCCTGTGAGACAGAGTAGTGGTCTACAGGTCAGTATGCCAGCTGAAGAGAGCTCAGATATAAAATCGCTCTACATGAATGACTGTTGATAAAGCTAAAATATATCTTGCTCCTATATAAAATTAGTACATCTCTGTTACCTGTAAATTAATATCACGTGAATATGGTTTCCATTATTCTCCTGACTTTTTACCAATTTCTCTCATCTCACAAGGAGCAGAACTGAGCAGCAACTCCAACAGACCAATCAGATCAATGTATAAAATTGTATTAACTGAAGAGTACACTTGGTTGCCATAGCTTATTGCACTACTTTTCTCTTTCCTCTAATAAGCTTATCAAAATTGCATGGTGCAGCAACACAGCAGAATCTATAATCCACAGATCTGCATCTAATAAACTGAATTCTGATTGGCTGGAAGGATTACTACACTGAATAAGCTCCTAAAACTGGCCCTCTAATTTAGGAAGGAAGTAGATTAAAGGAAATCATGCCATTTCAGTGTGGAAGTTAACACATTACTTTTTTCATAAAGGAACAATTTCTACTTTAGCTAGAATGTTAAGCATATAAAAATGAAACAGAGTTTGAAGGGGTGTTGTGTTTAAAGGGATTGCAAAGCTAAATACCTAAGTGAGCAGCTTCAAATGGAAGCTGAATCCTCAACGTGTTACAGGAAAGTGAACCAGAACCTGTTTAAAGCCAAAATGTAAGAGGTGTACTTTGCAGAGCCATTCATCCTCCAAACATTCAGTCTGTGCAAATGGGGCAAAATCGAATGTTATTAGTATATTTTCTTTCCAGGTTGAATGTAATACCGCATTATGGCCACTAGATGAAGCTGAGGATGATCACAGGAAATACTTCTTTCCTTCGCTCCATCTAGTGGCCATATTGTGGTATTTTCCCGACATATTCTGGAAAGAAATTATACTAATATTTGTTTTTGCCCCCATTCGCAAGGATCAAATGTACATGCTGTTTTGCAGAATGAATGGCTCTGCACATTTTTTTTATCAATACACCTTAAGTCCAATGCTAGGAATTTAACCAGGGTGCATTAAAATCATAAGCTTTCCTTGCAAGACCCTCACCCCCCAGCCACAGCTAAAAAAAAACCTTTGACTGCGGTATTTAACAGTGAACACAGTGGTCCCTCTGCATCAGTCCCAACAAGCCCCCTGTTTTATCAGACCTATGGCTATCCAATCCGCAATTATTGCTCCCTGGAGCAGAGGGGGTGTTGGACTGATGCAGAGGGACTGCTGCACTTGCATAGAGCTGAATACTCAAGGGAAGATTTGGCTGACTGAGGGGAAGGTGGGGGGGTGAATAAGAAGAAATAAAGAAGGATCTGACGTGGCAAACATATTATTTTAACTGCACCATGGTTCGCTCTGTAACATTAGGGCCTAAACTTCAATTGGACTTAACTGTAATGTTCCTGCCCTGGAACTAGCATAAAGTTCACATGTCGGAGAATGCCTGCTTCCATGACAAGCTTCATATAGAGCAGAGGTAGCAAACCGGCGGCCCTCCAGCTGTGGTGGAACTACAAATCCCATGAGGCATTGCAGCCACAGATATGACTCCTGAAGAGATGCATCATGGGATTTGTAGTTTCACCACAGCTGGAGGGCCAGAGGTTTGCTACCCCTGATATAGAGCTAGGACTGATTCCTTGCCAGCTTCCCTGCCAAGGGATCGTCATATAGGTATGTAAAGCTGACTGATTTTGTTTAAAGTATAACTCCACTTTTGTTTTTTAAATTCTCTGTATGTCCATTAGCTACAAAGATTTTAGCAATGCCTATTCCCACCTATTACTGTCTTGTAGAAACCAACATCTGTAGTTTACTCATTTCCTGTATGTGTTTTACACTACAGTCCCAGTGTTAGTAATAAGAGCAAAACAAGTGGGAAAAGATGTAAGGCAAATATTACCAATAAATGGGACTTATTGGGACCTAACCACATGTTACAATCTAATTGTGCAATCCTCTTTAGAACTGCCGTGAACCATGTAGTAAAGGGATCCTAATTGACCGGATACAAATTTAATGGCTTACTTGGGTAGGCTCTCCCAATTGTACAAAGTTTGTATAATCAGACGGGAACATGTATTGCCAGCTTTAGACAGTCACAGTAGTCTGTATTTAAAATGGAAATGTTGTTTGTAAGCAATTATGTATGTTAGGTTGTCGTTCAATAAAGTGGAATTACCTTTTAAAGTGAACCTTTCATAACAGAAATATATGAACAGCCTTTGCTGAATGCTTTCTGAAAATGTTAGCTATCAAGCTGTGAGCTGGTCATTCCATTGGAACAAGTGTGTAGTTCTCGGGTCATGTGTTTGTTCCAAGACGACTCAGTAGGAGTCAACAGAGGAAAGCCAAACAACTGACATTTTCATTGAGGGTGACAATGGTGATATGCTTATTTCTCTAATTAGTCCCTTATGTCTAAACATTGCTTGCACTTAGGCAACCATTTCGAGAATTCAATTCAGCTCCTCAGCTCCAAGGATCTGTTGACAACCAACAAAATGGCTGCTTCTAATAGGCAGGCACAGACAGTACTGTACCCAAGTCGATTTAAAGTTAAGTCCATCCAATCCTTTTTTTTTTAAGTGTGGAAAGGGTCATGCATAGTACAACACACATGGGTGCTTCATTCCTGAGGTCTGCTCCAATGGTTGAACTGACTCCTCTATGTTGGTATGTGGCTCAAAGTGGACATGTGACCAGACAATGGAAACACCAATCACTGCCCCAATGGTAGCTACTGGACAAAGTAGCTAAAAAAAATAAAAGTGCACTTTTTATTCTCATGGAACCCAGCGCAGAGTTAACAGTGCCATGAATGCTGCCATCTTGGATTCCTCCAGAATGGACAGAGACAGGCGATTACTGCCCACTGTCCCTACACCTGCACTTTTTCTTAGCCCCTGGTTCCTCCAAACTGATGTGCCTCCTAAATGTAATCTCTCTGCAACAGGCAGGAGTTTACTTACAAATCAGAATACGGTGTTAAATAAGAACACAACCAGAGAAGATCTGCTCATGTGAGGGACTCTAGTCACATTTTACAGTTTGTCAGAGAAATTGCATGAAAGCTTCCCAGATGTGAGGGAGAGCAAGCAGAGGGACTGGAATGGAGTGTATTTAGCTATGATAATCCAGACTGAATTAATACTCTGGTCTGGGATCAAGGAGAGCTTATTTAAGAGGTATCTCCATACTCGGTAATCATGTGTAATTAAATTGTTGCCCATAGCCTGGCCACAGGTTCACTTTAAAACCTATCACGATTGTCCACCTCTGAGTTTCCAGGAGGTCAGTACCAGTAGCACAGTTAGTAAAGAGGAATGAAAACTCTGGAGCTGGATGGACTCAAACTTTAAGTATGTTTTGAAGTTGAACCTTGTATTGGTTCCTGATTCAACCCCTTTCTGTTTGTCATGACACAGGGGCTACCACATGTTGGAATGAACACTCGCATAACTGCTCTGCAGTTTAGACCCTCCTTTGCCAGTTATGCCTGCAATTTTGGCAGTGAAAGGGTTAGGTTTCTATAATATTACAAAAGTGCAACCTCTTTTAGAACCAATTGCATATATTCACAACCCACAAAGTCCAATAGTGGCAGTGTTCCTTGTACTTTGTACAGCCAATGTAACACAAGCAGGCTCAGCTGTGAGCAAACAAATATATAAATCCTTATGTAACCCACCTTATCCTCCAAGATCACCAACACCACTGACTCGCCTTAGAATTGCAGGTGAAATATTGCTCTTTTAGCATAAGGTGAGTGAGGATAGCTGCCATTGCTAAACTCTCCCTCTGAAAATGCTAGCTCCCCGTCTGGCTTCTTAACAATAACAGTGATCCTAAAATCTGCTTTTGCATAGGGCTATACAAAAAGGAAAAAGGCAAATAATGCTTAAAACAGATTGCACCTTTAAAAAAAAATTGCAACTATGGTTGACTGCACCAGCACAGTACAAATAAGAAAAAAAAATCCCATCACCTTCTAACATCCACCTATGGCAGATGTGAAGAGATGGGGCTGTGGGAGCATCGTCCCAACGTATAACCCTAATGTTCTCTCTTCAGTCAGTCTGCAGGGGTCGAAAAGAAAAAAGGGCGTATAGGCACTTTTAGGACAAGTGATCATGCATGTTACTCCAGCATTGGTTCTCGAGTGTTGTGGATTTAGACTTGTGGTGGGGAGGCTACTGGGTGAAAAAAAACAGCTTATACTTAGATGGGTTTAACATGGAGCTATTCAACTGGAAGTCCAATGTTTCAGTCTCTCTGTTTTCAAACCACATCTTAAGTTTAAAGTCCAGTGTCTTTCTCGCATTGTTTATCCGCAGACCAGGCTCCCCAAGCAATTTCAATGTTAAATGTTCACAGATGGACTTTTCGCCAGCATCAAAGTTCTACATCAAGGCAACAGTGCCGGTAATGGAGCCCGGGGAGATGACGAGGAGGCTGAAGGAGACCTGCCGGGAGCTGGACAACCGGAGGAAGATCCTCATCAAGAACCTGTCGGCCGACTGCTGTAGCCAGGACATCCATGAGCTATTAAAGTCTACGAGATCAAATATTGTTACGTGGATAAAGAATAAAAAGACAGCCTTCATCACTCTGTCATGAGCCAAGTCCTTCACATCAATAATGATCTAATCCACCCTTTCATGCATTATTCAATCACTGTCCAAACAAACCTTCATATTTTGGTGTGCCCAGTTCCTCCAGGAAGCAAATTCAGCTTCATTGGTCTGTAGGTACCAGATTCCACATAGATGTCTTCAAAAGATCCAGTTGTAACCTTTGATCTGTTATGGAATCATGATGTACTAGTATAGTAATGCTTGGAGTCAAGAGATTGATCTTTGGTTAGGTGGTTGACCTACTGAAAAGTTAAAGACTCTTCTAAACTGCAGAATCTGCTTTTAACTGGAAGAAAAAAATCCTATTTAAGAAAGGAAAGGTGTAAGGCTCCTAGGTGTAGACCAGGATAAATGCATTCCCAATGCGAAGTGAAGAATTGTTTGGAATAAGTGGTCTGCTTTTCCCTACAGCAACCAAATCTGCAGTGGAAGACGACAGCTGTAATGAAACCATCAAAAGTGGTCGGTTGCTGAGGATCAACTGAAGCCAGTTATTAACTTAGTGAAGAAGTAGAACTTCTCATGTGCCAGAGGTTTAAATGATATTGAAACGCATTGTCTCACTGTTGTTACAAGGCAGCATAATTAGGCAACTGCCAACACGAGGTTAAGCCGTTACAGCTTTCAAACTGAACGTATTGAGGAAACGGGACATCTTCTCAGGCACAACGTCCCTTTAGACCAAAAGCTGATAGACTAATGCCCGATATGGGATCAGATAAAATATCACTTAGTGCTGTGTTCACTTTGACATGCACTTAATTATTCTTGGGTGAAGTTCTCTTTATTTAGTTTTGGATGGTGGCTGATTAGGGCAAGAGATGGATACTATTATCCCTGTATCTTAAAGTACACTTGTCATGAGGGAAATATGGAAGCTACCATTACTGGCCTTGTTCTGCAATGCTAGTTGCTTGACTGTATGTTTTCAAGACTTTGACCCGCCACAAACTTACAGCAAATGAAGGTCACAGAAAAGTCAATGTTACTCATCTTTCTACTTTTGGATAAGTTACTTATCTCTGTTCTTAAAGCCATTGGATCAGTATAACAGCGAGTTGCGTAGAGGTAAAAATTGGTTGACTTATATATTCCCACATGACCTCCCTTAACTGCTGGGTTGGTCACAGTTCTCTTTGGCCTCCGCTGACAACAGTGGGGAAACTACAATAGACTGACCAGAAGCAGCAGATCCCTGGAGGCACAAGACAAATCTTCACAGAAGAGCTCTGGATGCCACTATGACTACACCCATCAAATGACCTAACCAGCCACCACCTAAATCTAAAATCTGGATTCAAGTGGAGTTCTTTAAGAGGCAGTATTATAAGCATATGATTTGATTGTGGTAGTATCGACCAGCTGAAGAATGTCAGCAGGAAAATGTGAAAACGGTGGGGCTGTTGTTTGGAATCCAGTATTAAAAAAAATTAGAGCTCCTGTCTACAGCAGCCAATGATGGCTCATCTTTCAAATGAAAGAATCTGATTGGCTGCCATTAGCAATCACTTTTTTTGAACCTGGTTTTCACAAACAAGCCCATGTGTGCTCAGACCTCATGCACCATAGAAACTTATTACGATAACGAAGTTGTGTCTTTTTATCAAGGTGCTTTTACACATGGTGGCCTCTAGTGGTCAGTCATGTGATCGCTAATCTTTGCAGAGGTTTCAAGTGCATGCTACATCAAGTGCTTGACAAGTGAGTTAGGTGTCAGAATTCGTTAGATCCTGGATGCTCCAGATCTTACGTATGTTTGTGCGTATTTAAAGAATGTTCTAGACAAGTGTAAGGCATCCAACGTCCCTCCAGTTGTTCAGCTACAGATTTTATCATGTCCTACCAAGTAGAAGTAATGTTCTTATTAATTAAAGAGGATTGAAAAGATGGCCGTCCCGATTTTAGATCAAGGCTTATCCATTCATGGCCTATGTTTCACTGTTAAATGAAATTTTAATGGAATGCAGGTGTCACCACCTCCCACATTGGGACTGTCACAATGTCCCAATGCAGCAGTTCCCATACACACATTTTATGGCTACTATGCAATACCAGATTTCACCAGCAGCTAGCGCTGCAGGTAGAGGGATCACTGCAGCTCCATGCTTTGGTGCTGGAGAAAGGGATGTCATTGTATAAAATCTATAAAAAATAAGTCAAGGCAACTGGACTTGCTGTATTTTTCTTGAAGATGTTTCACTGGTCATCCAGTTGCCTTGACTTATTTCTTATAGATATACCATGACCTGGATGAATGAGAACCTTCACAGGCATTGTGGAAAGCTTATTTACAGTTTTCCGGGAAATCCCCCTTAACAGCTGGAAGGTTGTTGGATGTCTGACACGTGTCTCCCTAAGGATAGGTGGTGTTTCTACTAATCTCCATGAGTAGCTTGTGCACAGCCCCTTGAGTGCTCAGAGCACTATTCGAGTTCGGTTCTGCTCTTCTACAGCTGCTCCTCACAGGCCCTTAAGCCTTTCCTGGTTCCGCTGTTCAAAGAATGTTTTCCCAAACTCATAAGAGCTAATCATGATGGCGCAGGCAGGCGCAACCTTGATGACTCGAGGCATGAACCCTGCAGAGAGAAGAAAAGGGAGAAGTAAGGAGCAGGATTGGTGGGGCGAGAAGATCAGCTCAACAAAAGGAGGTAGTAGGCTTCACCTGCAAAGAGACCACGAGTTCCGGACTCTGCACGGATCCGGCGCATTGCTCTCCATGTAGATGATCCCTTGTGTTTAGATGAGCCTGGAAGGAATACACCAGATTACAGAATAAAATCACTAAATCTGTTTATCTCCTTTCCTTGCAGCAGAAAAGCGGGTAATGTGCCATCTAATGTTTAAGTATAGTCAGCGGAATCAAGCTATATAACAAAACTGTAAAATGGCACATTACCCACAAAAGCCTCCCCAAATACCTTAAAAATGTCATTTATCCAGCAGTCATGACCCAGATTATTGTCTGTCCTTCTCCAGCAGAGTATAGTACTAGCAGCTCCGCTGATCTATGCAGATACTGTTACTTTAGGCCAGGGGTAGCCAAATCTGGGCTCTTCAACTGTTGTGGAACTACAAGTCAGATAAGGCATTGCAACACTGACAGCCACAGGCATGGCTTTCACAGGCAGATGCATGATGGGATTTGTTGTTTCACCACAGCTAGGAGGGCTGAAGTTTGGCTACCCCTGCTTCAGACAGCGTGACTACATATAGAAGACAAAAGGAGCAGTGCTGGCCAGGAAACATCAGGCTGACTCTTACCCATCTCCTTGTCCCCTAGTTCAATCTGTCTGTGCGTCTTCACGACATCGAACGGCAGAGTTAAAATGGCAGCCACCTGGAACAGAGCGACACAGGGAAAGTTTGAGTAAACATTCACAGGGCTATTCACAGAAGGGTGAAGAGTTTGGAGAAGGCAGGAGAAGGGAACAATCTAGGACAACATAGCCGAACTGAAAAGTGAGCTGAATGGTAGAATTTCTCCAAATCAGCTATCTTGTCCTAGATTGTTCTCTTCTTTTGGACAAGGACTTACAGCTCCGGAAACTGCTCCTGATGTAAAGCTGATCAGAAATGGCGACTCCGAAGTTCCCCATGACTTGCCAAGATTCTTTTTCACCAGCTCGTAATTGAACCAGTACAGAGCTGCGGAAACAACACAAGGATTTAAGAGAATTGCAAAAAAGCACATTGATTGTAGAAGTACTTCGAGAACAGTATACTGCCATAAATGCTCATTCATTGATTACAAATGGCTTTAGAAAACTCAGAGCTGGACTCCAGGCAGATATAAAAGACATCAAATAATGCAGCACTGTATCCACTAATACAACATGTAATGTATGTTTAAATGCAAGCACCTGAATATCGTATCAGCTTAATGCAGAGAGACTGGCAGCCGATAAGGTGTGCTGCAGTTTAAGGAACAGGTTGATAGAAGAGGAGAGCAGAGTGCCAGAGCGATGAGCTCATCAGTGTGATGCTTTACCTTTTACTGGCTGGAGGGGAAAGACCAGGTTTCCTTCCCTGCCAGACAGGACTGTGTAGCAGAACTGTAAAAATCTCACAGATGGATGGACAGAAATACAAATCATTTGGCAGCTAAAATATCTCCCATATATGTATTTCATCTGTGTATTTAGCCATTGGTCTGGAGTTCAGCTTTAACATGCACATGTAGGGACAGTGAAGTGTCTCAACTACTGCTGCTAGCACACAGCGGGCACCAAATGGCACCTGTATATAACCTCACCTTGACTACTGGGCACCTGGGTTTCCTGTATCCTGGGGACTTTCATTACAGAATCAGCGAACTAATAATCTCACTTCCTCTCCCTTCAGCTAACATGCAGACTAGAACCTGACACTCTTGGGCTCCATACCAGGGACAAGCCACCACTGCATCTGGCGCAAGACTTTAATGCTGATGTTCTTGGCGCTGATAAGGTAAGCTTGACATGTAAAGAGACCCTGTCAACAACTTTAAAAATTGCAGGTGTAACCACAAAAAAATGATTACTTGCAGTGCTTTTTCTTCTTTCCATAAATTATTTTTGTATTCAATCGCATAGTGTGTTTGAACTTGCTTAAATATTTGACCACTCCAGGAAAAAGTAAATTCCCTAGCACAGCCCCCCCCCCCCACCCCGCCCCCTGCCCCGCTCACCACCCCAC